TATGAAAACCCTGACCATTAACCTGGGTCACATAGGTCCAGTTAGGCTTCCTGGCTGGGGACCTCTGGATGATCGTAACCGATGGTTAGAGACACTGAGTGATATGGCTGGGTGTCGTAAACAGTGGCGTTCGTGCATCTCAGATATGCGTGGTTAATGGTTGTACAAACTCAACTGAACTCGTTTTGAATAACGTCTTTGGTCTTGCCTTGTGGATAACTTATCAATTTTTGTTTTTCTTCCTTGTTTTTTTATTCCTGGCATCGGATACACAGTTTTTGCAGTCAATGTAGAGAGTCCTGGTGAAACTCATGGAATGAAAAATTGGCTTTTAGTCGTGATCAACCTAACTAATGATTTGATGCACTGGCCTTCAGGTTTCAGTTCAGTATGTTGTTTGCCTTTGTGTTGATTGACGGCCTGCTGTGCAGATCAACCCTTAACATCGTGCACCCACTGAGACAAGCTGAACGTGGTCTAGACAGCATCTTATTGGTTGGGTCTGGCCAGCTTGGGTGGGTAATAGCTGTCCAGTGAAGTGCGAGGACTTCTCCCACTGTACTCTGCTCCCAACTCCAGAGGTTTTTGAACCGGTAAACTGCCCCTCCCCGTGTTTTTTTTTTGGAGTGAACTCTCCAGGGGCCAGAGTGGATAGTCAAATAGAAGCCAGAAGGTCTTCAACCAGCTGAGTTTGTGAAACCGAACTTCTTCTGACCTCTATCTTTCAAACAAGGTTGAGTCTTATGCTCTGATATGTCATCTTGTGAAGCTCTCAGGGTTATGGAGGCACGCAAGACGTCACACCACGTCAAAGTACAGTTTTGTCGCGATAGATTGCAGTATGGTGAATCGGTCGAACTCGCTATGGACGAAAGAGACAACCAGATCAAACTCTGCATGATGAATCGGGCTTTGATCCATTGGACATAGACGAATGAATGCTGTATCATGTAGTGCTGAAATTGGACAAGCCTTACAGAGCCAGGTCGGATATTTCAGTATGATATATCGGCGGATTAGTCGGTTCTTTTGTCCGGACAAGAACCTTATTGAACTTGGTGCACATTCACTGATGCTGACTCCTTACCGACCGAATGATCAGAGGCCTCATCAATGTCGGGAGTGAGTGACTCGGGTTCCGGTTGGTCACTCCTCTTTTACTTGCACCTGAGGAGATGCTCCCATACGACCAGGCGTCTCAAATAGCTTCTGCTGAGGGAGCCCTTCTCACTGCCGTTTCGTGGCGGAGCTGCTTTCCCACCAAAAAAGAGAGGATATAAAGTCCATTTCCGGGACTATAAACGGTTAGGTGAGCCACTGGCAGTTCACCTTAGTGATTTGTTTGAAAACCTTGATACTAAACCAACCAAGAAGATGTATAAGAACCACACACCTTCCTGTGGCAGTGGTTACCGACTCGATTGGGCATCGAGGTGTACTGGACACCTTGGACGTTTGACCCCGTCCAAAAGGCGTATGATCCGATGAACTAGATACAGGCCCCTAATGGATTTCCGTTTTCACACATCGCCCCGCTCGCTGCCTTGCGGATTAGGTTTTGACTAGCCGAAGTCTCCGGTTTTGACTTCCCTAAAATAATTCACGTGTCTTGGCCTGAGCAACCTGGCAGTATTCCGCCCACAAACAAATCATGGAACGTTTTTCTTTTATAAAGTACTGTGATTTGTTTAGCAAAATCTGGACTCAAATGTGTATGAAAATGTGTATACATAAATGATATAAATTGTGCATGTCTTCACAAGTGTTCAGTAAAATGTTGATTCGGATCGACAATTCCACCTTGGATCACGTCTCTTTGTTCCCGGTCTGCTCCGTGTATCTCATTTGTACTAATAGTTCTTTCCTGCTGATTCGATCTAGTCTGCTTCGGAAATACGTTTCTGTTTTTGGACTTTGTGCATGTGGAAATAAAATTATTAAAATGATTCAATTTTCTTTGTACCAGCCTGAACGGTGTCCGATCAATTGCGGTCTGTTAGGAGAAATAAGCAAGTGAGAATAGTGAGACGGTCCGCTCAATTTTGCCGTAGTCAAACCATATTCTGTGGGGCATTTCTCTCAAACACTCACGCTATTTGATGATCTGTTCGCTTCATCGTTTTGGCTGAATTCCACCAGCATTTTTACTCTTCCATCTTTTTACTACAGCTTACCGTCGACATGAAATCGACACTTCTGCCCAAGTCACCAAACTTTGTGAGGTTACAACAAATCGTGTCGGCTAATGCAACGCGGCAATACTCATTCGAGAAGCTTCCTGCTGCTTCGCAGTTTGAAATCAAAATCTCAAAAGAATTGGATGTTGGTGAGTAATTCTTAGCTTTTATTTCTTAAAGTTATACCTTTTGGTTCACCATGCGGGGATCTGTGTCTCTCAGTTCTCATACAATCACCTTTTGCAGTTGTGACCCTTACTAAGTACACCCCTTTGTCATTTTGAAGTAGACGAATATTTAGTTGTTCAATTCAAAATCATTGGATTGCATATGTTAATTTCTCACGTCGTAGTTACCGGTGACACGTTGATCGTGTGGACTCATCCGGCACCATTCGCCCAGTCCAAAACCTTGCAGTTTGGTCCGTTTCAACTGATCAAGCGATCGAATACTACAGCAATTGTTCGTTTTCCAACTGTTCAGGGATATTCTGACGGTCCATTGAATGGCTTCTACCTGGTTGTTTCCTCGCTGCTCACAAACTCTTCTACGGTCTCGCAAATGCAACTGTCAGGTAAATTTGGAAATGTTACCAACAGAATCTGCCTACTTTTTGTTTGATAGTAGTTTGAATGCGTTTCCCGTTTTAGTGCACCAGATCTATCCCCATACACGGATAAGGAACCTACCAATTCGTTTAGTTCAGCCTAACTATGGAATATTTTTTCACCTGCTGATTCTTGTGCGTTACGATTCTTTCACCTTTATTCCCATGTCCTCGTGAGTTATTCAACTCATGATAGATGCGTTTTTCGTCTCAGGGGCGCGAAGCACCGAGCACACGCCATCCAATTGTTCAGTCCATAGGGGCGAGAACTGTCGCAAGATGCTTCGTCACGCTTTCTCTTCTCAAACAGTTACATTACTTCTGAACCTTAGACAAAATTGTGTTTCCAATTGTAGTGGATAAACATAAAACTGCAAGGGCTGTATGTGCAAAAGGTAAACTAACATCATGTCTGTGACAAGAGGATGCTCGTCTGGGTATAAATAGCTGGGTCTCCCAGTGTGAATAACATTGTTTCATTCGATGGAACTAGCTCCCAATTGGGATTATATAGCAAAGTCAGGAAGATGCTTCGCAATCGAGGGCGCGGGACTTCAGTTAGGATACCCAACACGTGTTTGTGACATCTGTTTTTTTTCAGCCTCATTCACACTGCGTACATAGCTTCTGTTTGTTCTGCCAATGCAACTGTCACGGCCGCTGCAGTTCTTAATACAATGTTACGTAAATTTCTAATAGTTTTGTAAAAAATGGTGGAGTGTACCAACTGTTCATATCTTACAGTAATTGATTTCTCCCTTCACTGACCGATGAGACTTTTTTCGATGTACCGGGCATATCTTATTGATAATCAAAATAATACTCTTAACAGATCCTTCTTGATGTCTCCCCCCTCATATCACTGCTGATTTCTACTGCCATCTGTTAAACATATGGTTCTAGGATGCCCCTACTGGCTGTTCCGTTTTATTTCTCGCTCGTATGTGTACAACAACGATCGTGGGCAGACCCTGTTGTCTGCGAATTCGCACTGATTGTATCAGGATAGCTCTTTAGCTGTTTCGCAAATCAACGACTACTAATGGAATAGAATTGTGATTTACTGGTACCGTTGAACTCATTACGAATTAATCCAGCTTGTTGAACTGCTGAATGCGCTTCTCGTAAACACGAACAACTGCAACATCCATTTTCTGACTTCTGAGACGAGGTGGACAGATGCTGTTTGAATTCATTTGATCTGTTTGAAAAATGGTATATATATATATATATATAAAGGCACCGAGCTAACCATCGGTCGAACGAAAAGCACAGAGAGAGAGCAAGAAAAAATCAGTTTTGGGTACGGAGTAACTTCTCCGCTTGTTTACTGCACGCAAAATCATTCAACTATGGAACTGCGCATCAAACCAATCATCCTAACATTCAATGATCAAGCAGGTTACTCTTATTGATCCATAAAACCAAGGAAATCAGGTAAAGGTTATAGATTGCTTATCAAGGCAATTTTCGGCGAATGATTAAAATGAACCACAAGAAAGCTGTGCCTCAGGAAATCTGCACAGGCTATCTCTTATGAAATTATGCACTTTCTTCTGTTTGCAATTGGTCCTTCTTAGAACGGGAAACACTAGCGAAAATGTCACGGCTAAAATGCACCTCAGCGCAGTGGATGGATTTCAAAATACCAACGTCTCTCGTTCACTCCTGTTGGAACTCTTCAACAATGTTTACATTTGTGTTTTATTGCTGAAAGTGATTCATACATCATCAGCCAAAAGTATCACACGGAGTATCCGTTTTCAATTACTCTGTCTATTCGGTGTATCCGTTTCATAGTTCGCAAATATACCAGTAAAAGACCATTAATTGGAATGTATTCTTGAAACGGGTTAACTTGTTGAACATCACTGAAAAGCCTTGGAAGTATTTTATAGTAGTAGTGAGCAACACATTGACTCTCCTTGAATAAAATAGTTTGATAGAAAAAAAAATCTGTCAAACCGTTCAATCACAGCACCATTTGTTCTTCTTTTCAGCGGACTAATGATGGTCAGAATGCTGTTTGTCTACATCGTCATATCTATTTACTGCACGTATAAATCAATGCTTTGTTTTATTTTCATTGCAGCTGTCCTTTCCACATCGTCACTGCCACCGAATTCGGTGATAGCATATCATTCGAACGTTTGGCCATCGGACCCAATCATTCTGGGTTCAGGTTCCAATAAGCCAGACAGCATGATTGCATCAACCTCATTGTTCCTGCCGTATTCAGATCCGCCGTTGGAAATCAACAAAACGTATGTGATCACGGCTGTTGTTCAGAGTATTGCGGATAATTGGGTAGAAGAGGCCGCCGCCGGACTGCTTGTCCTGACCAAACCCGACACCATCGCACCAACAGTAGGCTACATTACTCAGCCCAACACTACGAGCTCTGTTGTTGCCGGAGTTTTGAGCGCGCTTTTCATATTCCTCATCATTGCCATTCTTCTCTTCTTTTTGTACTATCGTGGTTGGTGGAAATATGGACGAAAGGTGAGTTCAACTTATGTGCTTTGTGTCACACTTCTTCAACTGTCACACGGGAAAGCGTGTGATTATCTATCTATCTATCTAGAGGTGAAATGGGAGGAGGCTGCGAAAAAAAGATGGAGTTTACGGTATATATATATATATATATACCGTAAACTCCATCTTTTTTCGCAGCCTCCTCCCATTTCACCGCTACCTCCCAACACTCTATCTCTCTCGGGTCCTTCAGACGATCGTACTAACAGTAATGCTTCGAGTGGAACTTCTGCCGCTCCTAGCTCCAGTCCTACCTCGACTAGCATCCAAGTCTCACCGAATCCTCTATCAGCTAAAGCCCTTTGTCACTCTCGATGTTCTTTCAAACTAGCCACATTTAATATGTGTACTGTGATGCATGTAGGACAGCGGGCGTGTTTAGTTCGTACGCTCGAAATCCTAGCCGTTTGATGTGTGTTGTATCCAAGAAACTCGCATCCAAGATTTCAGCTGCATTGTACGATTGACGTCCCCATCACTTACGCCTCTCTGGGGACCCTGAGGCTGCGACTTCCAGTCCAGCTGGCGTCGGCGTGGCGTGGAGGTCGCCCTCCTAGATTGGATCCCAGTCGACAGTAGGTTATGTGCAGTAAGATTCAGAGGTTCGTGTAACGCAAGCAGCCGTCACCACGATAGACGAAACTTGTTTATCGAATCGGCGTATGCTCCAACGGACTGCTGCCCAGATGCAGTCAAAGATGAATTTTACCATAATCTACATAACCTCTTACGTAAAGAGACCTGGGTGGATATCGTGATTTTAGCAAGAGACAGGAATGCTGGAGTAGATCGGTTGACTTCATATTCAACTTTGACGCCTTGCATGCTGGTGGAGATAGATAGGTAGATGGATAGATTGATTGATTGTTTCCTTGATTTATTGATTGATTGTTTTATTGATTGATTGATTTGATTGCTTAATATATTGATTGATTGATCGATTGTTTGATTAGTTTGTTTGTTGGTTGTTTGGTTGATTGATTCAGTTTGTACAGTCATTATCCACACCTATTCATGCGCCGGTTTTGGTTACTGTCTTTTGGCTCCCCATGTGAATGCAGAATAGGAGAAGAAGGGAAAGTGTTAAGTGGAGTCGAATAGAAAAGGGAGAAGTTCTGT